ATAATCATAAACATGATCAAAGAATTAGGCAAATTTAAAGAACACACACACAAACAAACAAATCAAAGAACTAAAAGAAGATAGGAATAAACTTCTGAATGAATTCACAAAAGAGATAGGAACATTGAAGAACTTAGGCAGAAATGAAGAAGGAAGTGCAAAACGCAATAAAGCAACTTGAAACAATAGGGGCACTCTAGAACAAATGAAATGGAAAACAGAATATCAACACTGGAGGATAAAGTTGAAGAACTGGACCACTCAAGCAAAGACTATGGAAAATTTTTTAAAACACAGGAATCAAATTTGCAAGAGATGTGAGACACCATGAAAAGAACAAATTTACATATCATAGGAATAGAGGAAGGAGAAGAATTTCAGGTCAATGGTATTGACCAGATCTTAGGATTGTAGAAGAGAATTTCCCAAAATTAAGGAAAGACATCCCCATACAAATACAGGAAGCATATAGAACACCAAATAGACAGGATCAGAAAAGAAACTGCCCCCATGACATATCATAGTAAAAACAGTAAGTGTACAGAAAAAAGAAAGAATACAGAAACCAGCAAAAGAAAAACAACAAGTCACATACAAAGGAAAGCCCATCAGAATTACAGCTGACGTATCAATGCAAACCATGAAAGCCAGACCGCCTGGACCAAGGTATTTCCAGTTCTACATAACAATAGATGCCAGCCCAGAATACTTTACCCAGCAAAAATGTCCATTATAGTTGAGGGGGAAAGATAAATCTTCCATGACACAAACAGCCTGAAAGGATACATGTCCACAAAACCAGCCCTTCAAAGAATACTTGAAGCAATACAGAGAGCAGAGAGAGAAATAACTATACCCCAGGGGCAACAAAAGAAAATAAATAAAAGTATAATTGAGGAAACACAAAATTAGAGAACACAAATAGCAATCAAAATGACGGCAACCAATACACATCTTTCAATAATAACCTTAAATAACAATGGGCTGAACTCCTCAGTCAAAAGACACAGACTAAGTGAATGGATTAAGAAACAAAATCCATCTATTTGCTGTCTGCAAGAAACCCATCTCACCTTCAAGGACAGGCACTACCTTAAGGTAAAAGGATGGAAAAGAATATGCGAAGAAAATGGCGCTAAGAAACAAGCAAGGGTTGCAATTCTAATATCTGACAAAATATACTTCAAAGTAAAACTAATCAGAAGAGATAAGGAGGCTCACTTCACCCTGATCAAAGGGAACAATTAACCAAGAATATATTACAATCCATATATGCATCAAACTCTGATGCACCCAAATTCATAAAAAATAAAACACTACAGGACTTTAAGACACAGATTAACCCCAATTCAGTAATAGTAGGGGACTTCAGTACCCCAATGTCTCCATTAGACAGGTCAACTGGACAAGGAATAAACAGACAGACTTCTGAATTAAATGATACCATACATCAAATGAACCTAACAGGCATCCTTAGAATAGTCCACCCAAGCACCAAAGAATACACTTTCTACTCAGCACCCCATGGAATTTTTTCAAGAATCAGAGCAAAAATTAATGAAATATAAACAAAGAAAACAATACAAAGAATCAATGAATCTAAGAGCCAGTTCTTTGAAAAGCTAAACAAAATAGACAGACCCTTAGGCCAGTTAACCAAAAGAAAGAAACAGCAAATCCAAATCAACAAAATCAGAGATGAAATGGGAACTATC